GACGCTTATAAAATATTGTAAACTGGAAGAAAATGGTGTTGATTAGTTATATTAGATTTGTAGAGTGTGAGGTAGGAAAATTGACAAGTCATATTGTAAAATTTAAGTCCACTGTGCAAAGACCATTTAATATGAGAATGATATATGACGGGGGTAGTTTTGATGTGGGGCTATGAAATATTGATAGGCAGTCTTGTCTTACAGGAGTAAAACAAGCTGGCTGCCTGCCTATTATCACCTACCACGATATTCTTAATTGTGGTGGACTGAATTATGCGTCAGACTGTTGGCGACGAGGAGTCAGGAATACGCTGGACGACCGATAAGTAGACTCGAGAAGATCCGGATTTCGCGCGTGGATGATATATGTTTAACGTCACACAAACTCAAAGACTTACAGGCAGGCGAAAACCAACAAACTGTCTGAAGAGGCTAGCAGCGAAAACAGGACTTCAGGTGAACACAGTGAAGACGGGAAATGGGGATGTTCTGCTGAAGCCCTATTTCACACTATTGTATTGATGTGATACAGACAATGTGTTCTAACGGAATATTACTCCCACAATAAGAACTACTGCATTTGATGGTGTTAACGTCTGAATATCATTTCCACAGTTCAATAGTGCATTAGCAACGCAATTTTCTATGTGTATTTGAGCATCCTATTTCATGTCGTTTAATGTAAACCAAAAATCACACGCTCTATGATTGGTTGAAGAATATAAACTATATATATATATATATATATATATATATATACATAAATAAACAGCGGTTTACTCAATTGAAAAGATACCTTTGCTTCTGTGTCTTGCCTTCTACTGCTAATAATAATGCTCATACCATTTCAGCAATAGGGCCTATCCTTTTAGAACATGTAATGTAAACAGTTCTGTTGATTACTCAATCTAGGAATTTCAACGAAACTTCAACTGATCGTGTGAACAAATCTATCACGAATAATAAAATCAAATCGAGTTTTGATTTTGAGTATCTTTAATTCATGTAAGGGAGATGATTTAGTTAAAAAAAAAGCCATGTGTCTCCAACATATTCAGAACTCTCAGGCACTAACAATGATTCTTTTTACACGTCTACATTTAATTGACTAACAAACTGTCGCCTTAAATCCCATGTATATTCACTTATCTAAAGTAAATTCTTTTTAAAATCATTTTTGTGAAGTTAAACAATAGTCGCCCATGTATGAGAACGCTCCAGTGACTTTGAGCGCTTACTAGTCGTTGGTTAACGACAACTGTCATTACTGTAGCACAGATAAGATAAGATAATAATAGCTTTATGCCAAAACAGTACTTGTGATACAGAATGGAATTCTCAGCATTTTACTACAATATTGCATCCAATTAGTTCATTAACAATAAATAAAGTTCTGCATAGAATAAGGTAATCTCAATTAGTTTTGACAACAACATATGAACGCTGTTCACCAACTAGGGGGCAAATTTCACACAGATCACGTTTTTAAGTAATATTTGGACAATTTATTAATAGCTCCTTAGGGTTAGGATTACGGTTAGGGTAGATATTAGGGTTAAGGTTAGGATCAGGGTTATAATTAGGATTAAGGTTAGTGTTATGGTGAGGATTAAGGTTAGGGTTACGATTAGGGATAGATTTAGAGTTGGTTTTAACTGCTTTCACTATCCACATTTTCCTGGTAATTATTCGTCGATCCTCCTACTGTAAAACATAGTAATTCTATTGAGGACTTTTTGGGAAGACTGCGAAACAGTTTAAGAGCAATAAACGGGCGAGAAAAGAAAGCTCACCTTAAGTCACCTCGGTGAATCCATGTACAGATATTGGTCTAGCTGATACTGTTCACTATAACTGAGACATATTTTTAAGTCATGTCAGAAAAAGATACCCTGTTTAATGTGTTTTCATGCATTTTCTTGTAAATAAACATAATTTTTTAATGCGAAAATCCCTTATTTTTATGGTTGGTCGGCTTAAGATTACTCGTACGTTCGCATCCCTTGGAACGCCATTGTTTAAATTTACCGTCATATTTATGTGAATTACACTTGGTACTCATTTATTTAACTGGTATTCTGAAGGACACATGAAATTCAGTATGCCAACGTGTAATGTTGTCAATTATTTCTAATTTATTTAGAAGTTTTCTGGGCATTCACTGTCACTTTTGCTGATCGCTATTAATAATTAGGAGTGAATTACCATTAGACGATTTCTTCAGCCACACTTTACACAATCGAACTTGTTTACATCTTCATAATCAATTATATACTTTAATTTGGTTGGTAATTCCTGTTACAGGGATCTAGAGCGCGCATTTTGTCCGGATTGGGACATGCTACCTGGGTGTGCCTGCATTTATAGTGGCAGGTGGAGTTGATGCTTAGACTCCGACCTAGTATTAGGAGCTGGAGCCATGATATCTACGCCTTGTATATTGCGTGTCAGTTGTTATTTGTTTAAGTTAATTTGAATTTCCCAGTTTAAATCAAACCAAACACATAAATATCTACAGTTTACCCTGGATAGTGATTATATCTTATTGTTAAAGGGTTAGTTCACCATCTGAAAGATACCTTGGGCTTAGTGTTTGTCGTGTGTGATATGCCTGCAGTCTCAAGCAAAACTAGTGACGCCTCAGTCAGTCTGTCAGTCTCTAGGTGGACACAGGTTTCTTGTTGGCTATTAGCAACAACCACAAAGCTTAAGTCTAGGAATTTATACCTATTGCTTTAACTACTTAACGTCAATTCATAGTGCAGAGTGGTAGTGAGTCACTAAGCTTGGTAACGGCAGTCCAAAGTTAAATGTCGATAGCACAGTGGTTAGGACTCTCGTTGACTATGCATATGGTCTGGGGTTCGATCCCCTACCGACGCACACCTGATATCAATGGTTGGGCTGCAAAATTTGGGCTATCGATATCACATGCTGAAAATTCCATACTTCTACCAAAAAGTACTGTGTGGTTTTAAGCTATAATCAAAAAAAAAATTTTTATCAACACCAACAATAAAGACTAGATTTTTGACACTGATTACATCATAGTGACAAATCAATGCACCTGTGTTATACTGACTGGACGTGTTCGTTAAAGTATCAAGGTGACATCCTTTAGAAAACATTCATTATAAGTTAACATTTTTAAACTTTCTATTGTAGGTCATCTGTACTTGAATGTGTTTATGTATATATATATCGAATTGTTGACATTTCATTTAATAAGAATTTCTAAGTGTTAGTTTGGTTATTGACAGTTATTTCGCTGATCCTACTACGAAAATTCGAAAAACTCTAACCATTAGGTTTAAACTTGTAGGAATTTACAGTATTTCTCAGGTAACAAGGATATTATTGTGTGATGTTTTTTTTTAAATATTGAAGGAAGATTTGAACTATCTAATTATATTTGGTTTGTAAGGATTAAATTTGTTTTTTAAGAGTTTGACCACGGATTAATATCGGCTAGGGAACCATTGAAAACCAGGGAGTACTGGACAGCTGCTGTTTCATCCTAGTTTGGGAATCATCGGCGGTACGCACCAACTGGCTTTTGGAACCCAGGTTACAAGGCAAGATTGTATACCATTCAGCCACTGGAACCCGATCCAATGGCCCATGGATTCAACCTTCTGCAACGAATCACGGGTTCCAGTGGCTGAATGGTATACAAACTTGCCTTGTAATTGGAAAGTGCTGGGTTCGAGCTCCAGTGGGTGCGTACTACCGATAATTTAAACTATCATTATAATTTGGATTTAATTTTATTCTGTATGTGTGTGTGTATTCACGAAAGATTCAGATTGCTCTTTAACCAGCTTGAAAAAAATTACCCACTGACAGTGTATGAAGAAATTTACACTTTGGTTTTTTGGAAGCATGATTAACCAAACAAACTATCATCGTCATAATGATTTTTTTTTCTTTTTTAAACAGAGACACATCTTATAAGTTTATGTTAGTCTATTAACATGTAAATGCATCATTAATAATGAAATCGTGATTATAAAAGAAAATTTGATTGGACGTGAATTTAACCTGGATAGGTTGAGAATTTATCGACCTAATATGTAGCTATACGAAAATATTAAAACAGTTAAACTGATTAATTTATGCTTATTAATAATTAGACAACACTTCTAAATATGTCTGAAACTACTGGAATAATTAAAAAATCATGTTGTATATTAAAAAGGCTGGATGGGAAGTTGGCTATTGTCACTGGTGCCAGTACAGGAATTGGTTTGGTAACAGCTGGGGAATTAGCACGTCGTGGTGCTAAGGTAATCATGGCGTGCAGGAACTTATCGAAAGCTAAAGGTGCGAAAAAGCAATTGTTGGAGAAATATGGTGTTAACAATCCAGAAAGCGTGAATATTGATGTAGCGTGTAAAGATGTGACTCGGTCATTAAGTCCAATTCAAAATGAACAAGTGAGTTCAGTTTTCAAAAAAACATGTTGGTTTCTGTGTTCTTTTGTCTGAATGATTTACGGATTATTCTGCTGAACTACAGTGGTGGTATTTGAAATTTGAAATTTTTTATTTAAAGTAGGCATATCGCACTGTATAGAGTTATTATTTTAAGCTTGACGTGGCACATAAGCCAATAGAATCATTACAAAGCTTAATTTAAAGGCCAGACGACCTACTGTCACAAAACCAGGTGTGCAGATTGACTGCAACACCACGTAAACTAATTCACCTGTCGGATTTCCTAAAGAATCCATAAACAACGAGCTTCAGTAAGACTTTAGGATGCGCTACAACTTTGGTCTTGAAAAATGCATGTAACATCTACAAAGAAAGCATTGTTAACTTGATACGTATAAACTCAAAGATAGAGAAGATTTGTAGCTCAGGTGGAGAAATCTTAAAGCTCACTTGAAATTGAAGTATGCGCTGAAGATGTCTCCTGGTACGGCGATGAAAGCTTCGCAAATCAACTATCCAGCTCAGAGAACACAACCACATCAAAAACTCAAAGGTAGCAAACGAATTTGTTATGGAGAGAAAACTTAAATTAACAGATCTCTGGACACAAATTCAGTCTAGAGCCTACTCAGGAAGAAACACAATCACTTCCTATAACCAAATAAAGAAATCCATCTTATTGGACCTCTAATGAAGCACAGCAACAAGCTACAGAGAAGAATTACCGTTCCTTGACACAATAAAGTGTAAAGAAAGGAAACGGTAACAGAAAAATATCTCCCCACATTTAGAATTTTGTTAGAAGAATAAAAATGATACCTAAACGACCGTAATCGTTATTATGAATATACGATTGAAACTTGTGATATCAGTATATAGTGTGTATAATGTTTTCAGACGTTCCCTGCTTCGTATTCTAGTTGACTTTCATAAAATTTAGATTATTAATGATATGAGAATTTCATCAGACAGTGATGTCAATTTAGAGAACCCTTACAAACTGTGGAGGATTGTACTGCTGATTTGTTCTATCGATGTTCATTTACAAACCAACAAACATGTCGAAGCTAGAAAATCTTCTTGTCACAAAGAGGGTAAGGTGAACTTCTAGTTAAATTTCAAAGGTACATGATTTCTACTACTATCATCATCCAGTGGTTTCAATTAGTAATTCAATAATTTCATGATTCCTATAATAATATGTTTAGGAAAAAATTACATATCACTCTTCTGTATAAAATTTAATTGATATTATAACTTTTAGTGCTAGAATTTAAAATGTGGTATCTTGATAAAAATTGCAAAGTGTCTTGGCTAAAGCTAAGAGGCAGACATGCATTCAGTAGTACATCCAAGTTTTAAGTTAGACTTTGTAAATGATTTTACGGAGATTTCAGTTAAAATTACTTACATTTTCAGCATTAAACAACTTTGCGTCATCTTGAAACAAATTGATCGTATGTGTGCGTATGTGAGTCATTTATTTTTTTGTAAAGGAACCTAGTTTACACCTGATGCACAAACAGCCTCATAGACACGTGAACAAATCTGGAGAACAAGGGGATTGTGAATAATAAAAAGAGAGAGAGTATAAGTTGTACATACACTGAGGAATAACACAGTAATCTGAAAAAGTGTGTTGCAAAAAGTTTTCATGAAAAGTAAAATAGGCACTTAGCTTTAAGTACTTAGGAAATCAGTTTTATTTTTGCGAATAGTTAGATTATCTCCGCAATCAGATGCGAATTCTCAAAACATGTAGATGAAAAAAACATCGGGGACACTTAACTGACATGAACAGTTATAATAAATTCCTGTCAATGAGCTCAGCTCTATGGTAGGAGTGCACCGCATACAGCGACACAAGTTTTAGTGCCAAAATGTGTTCTGTGAAGCTGAATATCACAGTTGCGAAAATAGGACACAGATATGGCACTTTTATCACTGGTGGACGATTTTTCCTACCTGACAGGTTTTAATTAGTTAGTATGAGGTTTTATTTATCAAAATATTTTATAAGAAGGTCTCAAAAAGTCACTGAATGAAAAAAATCTCAATCGGTTAACATAGTAATTATTTAAGACATATGAATTTCATATTTCATCTCAAAATATGATAAGCCTTATTACTGCTCATTTAATTTGTTTTGAATACATTATTTAGCTAATTATTGAAGAGCTTGATTTGGCCTCTATAGACTCAATCAAAAAGTTCTCCAGCCGAATAATCTCCAAATACACTAGGTTGGACTTCTTAATCAACAATGCCGGTCTAATTGTTGGTAAATACGAGAAGACAGTCGATGGCTTCGAAATGACTATGGGAGTTAATCATTTAGGACACTTCCTGTTGACAGAATTATTGTTACCACTGTTGAAGCGATCAGCTCCATCAAGAATAATCATTGTGTCCTCCGTGGTACACTATGCCGCTAGATTGAATAAACCAGATTTGCAGCTTCCTGAGCATGAATACAGTGAAGTGAAGGCCTACAATCAGTCGAAACTGGCGAATGTGATGCACGCGGTTGAGTTGAGTGAGCGATTGCAAAATAGTGGAGTGACGGTGGTCAGTGTACATCCTGGTGTAGTGAAGACTGAATTCGGTCGAGATATCAAATGCACTGGAATGGTAAGATTTCGTTAGAAACATTTTTTAAAAAAAAACTTGTGAATTAATTTCGTAAGTTATTTTTATTTTGAGGAGACAGTTTGTTGAACTTTATGTAAGGAGAATGTGAATTCAACATCATCACTAGCAATTCTACTTGTGATATGATTTCCAAACTCCATTTCACCTTCAGAGACAAGCTGTCTGCAACAAAGTTGAGTAAGAGTTGAACAGAGTATGTTGTTAGCCATATAAAATGGTCACTTCACTTATGCGAAAGTTAGGATCACTATGGTGGATTTATTGCTGATTAGCGTCGGTGGCACAGCGGTCAGGACACTCGCCGACCATGCGCATGGTCCGAGGTTCGATCCCCTACCGACACACACCTGATATCAATGGTCGGCCTGCAAAATTTGGGCTACCGATATCAATGCTGAAAATTCCATACTTGTACCAAAAATACAGTGTGGAATCAAGCTGTAATCAAAAAAATTAAAAATACTCTGAGGAACAATGTCGTTCAATAGGTATTTGGACACTCAAGTCTAGACAAAAACTTGTACATCATAGCTGAACTGTTTGTCGATTAACTTCACATAAAATTTTAACTTTCCATTCCAAAAATGGGTACAGCATTCGCTTTACTTAATCACTCTTAGTTTCCATCATATTTAATTTGTTTTGGTCACAGAGTATTTATCAGTCATTTTAAATTTCCTTTACATATATATATATATATATATATATATATACAGCTTCACTATGTGTTACCATAACAACACCACCGCTATTTCAGCTTCAAAACTTGAAACCTATATTTTCCACTCAAAACTCAAGGAATGGAGAAGGTGGATAACTAAAATTTAGGAGATCGTATAGAGATTAGAATTACATTACCACTTGTTCTTATACGAATATTTGTCAATATTATCCTCTGTCCATGACCATTTCCATGACTTTCATGCAAGCATAATATTCCGAATTGTGAATGAAATTATAAATAATTACGAACAAAGTGTTTTGCTCTAAAAATATACGTCCCGACTAAGACCTTTGGAATTTCCTCAAAATTAATCAATTTCAAACGTGCTTTTACTGAAGCAACGCTCTTTTCCTGAAGAACATGTGGTTTACACAGTGGAAAGTTATGGAAAAAAGGTTGTCTTAGCCTTCTAAGCATCTTGCTGTAAAATGAAATAACTTAATAATAAACCAAAAATAGTAAGCTTGTAGAAAACCAAATCTCAAATTTACAGAGTTACATGTAATTAGATTAAAAACAATGTCATGTTTTCGGAACATTTAACAGCAAACAAGAACAGTTTTACTGCATTGTATATCCAAAAAACAAACTAATGTGTGTGTAAAACTTGGGTACTTTTTTAGTGTGGAATTCCATATAAACCTGTTTATTAGATGTATCACACAGTGTTTTTTTTCCTTCACGTTCCCCAGTGGAACACAGGGCTTCAAGCTAGTGGCTTGAAGTTTCTGTAGCAGTGTTTATTTTAGAGGATGGGGGTGCTAGCCTCATTCCCAAACTTTCCTCTTTATCAGCATTAATTTTGGCTTAGCGAGGTAAAGGAGTGCGTTGGTCGGGAATCGAACCCAGGGCCATGTGCATGGTGGGCAAGTGTCCTAACCGCTGAGCCATCGATGCTGATTAGTGACTGGCTCTCTACAATAGGTTACCTCTAGGAAAAAGTTATAACCAGCAGGGTTTATAAAGTTAGGTAGGAGAACAGTTACATCTTTATGATTGGAGTTATGGAGTTATACTCTACCACAATGCCCAAGTTTTATACTTATATCAGCAGCCTTATGATATTGGTTGGTGGTCGCGGTATATACATATATCGCCGGCTGGCAGAAGTTTTAGGCCGGTGTCTGGACGGTTTACGAACTAGCTTTGTCACCAGAAGGTCCTGAGTATGAATCCTGGTGAGTAAGTACTGATAAAGAGTTTAAAGGTAGGATAAAACAGTTGTCCAGTACCCCCAGGCTTTCCAGTGTTTTTCTAACTAATGTCCACCCGTGATTACACATGTATCTAATAAACAAATAAATATAAAAACAAACTAATATGGAAATGCATACTGTCTCGATGCTTAGATTTTTACTTTTATTTCATCAGTAATGTATATTATTACTATCTATACACACTTGGCTTCTTACTAATTTTCAATTATCCTTATTCTTTATCAAGAAAGTGCTCATCACCTTAACGAAACCTTTCTATATCGGTCCTTGGAAAGGTGCACAAACCACACTATACACCGTCTTATCAGACAAGATAGTAACCGGTGGCTACTATTCAAATTGTGCATTTAAAGAAGCTTCATCTAAGGTCAAAAATGAAAAGGAAAGGAAGTGGTTGTGGGACAAAAGTTGTGAACTTTTGGGAATTCAAAATCGTGGCAGCTAATCAAATTTAAACAATGATAATTATTGTTATTGTTTTAATCATTGTTGTTTGACTAAATAATTTTTTATGATTTTCATTATATGTTTCAAATAAATGAAGGTCAAGCTGAATGCATGCAGTTAATTTTCATTCGGTGTGCTGTGGATTTTACATCTATCGGTGTAATGATCCATTCATTGATTTATGTGTGTGTGTGCAAGGTATTTAGACATACTGTCAACTTTGCCTGACTAAATGTTTTATTTTATATGGTTAGTGCCCTTGTAGACGAAATATATCCACTTATTTATGAATAAGGAAAAGCATGGACTTGTTGATAGAAGAAACGTTCCTTTTCACTGGCTTCATTTTTAAAATGTATAGTGATATTTATATCACGAAAAAGGGTATTAGGTGATTGCCCGTATAATTTTCATATATATTGACTGAGTATTTCTCTGCGATAAAAATTGTCTTGTAAAGGAATAATAATCATAATTTGCTTTATTTTAAAACAGTATTTGTGATACAGAATGGAATTCTCAGCGTTTCACTACAGTATTTTGCATCCAGTTATTACATTAACAATTAATAAAATTCTACATAGGTTATGCGTAGTCTCAGTTAATTTTGACGACAGCATATTAGCATATCGGTAGCAAAGCCAAAAGTGAAGAGAATGTTTGAAGGTGTTAGAAAAGTAGGTACTAGGATATTTACTGGCGTAAGCGGCAACAGAAAGGTCGAGATATACAGAGTGTGAGAGAACGAAGAAGAATGTTTTAATAGAGTTAGTAAGGAAGAAAGAAACAAAGCAGCACATAACAAAAAAAGAGAGAGAAAAGGAAAAGAAAGAAAGAAAGAAAATGTTGTACCTGTAAATGATGTGACATGGAAAGACGAGATCCATTTGTTCCACTGACTACTTAATAAGTTAAAGGTTTCACACCTAATGCTTTCTTTATCGCACAGAACACGAGCTAAGTAGGGTATGGTTGAGTTTCTATACTTCCTAGTGCGAGCATATAGTTTCCTATATAGGCTTCTGGTTTTTACCTGAAGAGATACATGGGGAGAGTTGTGAATGAAGAGGGTGGTGTGAGTTAGATAAAATAAATTTAGCCCGTTTTTCACATGAGTCCATGTGCCTGTCCACCAGAATATTAACAAGCTGGCTAAGTGGCAAACTGCTTACCCTGCTGACAACCTTTAACATCCTACGTAATAAGGTGTAGTCTTTCTTCAATAGCCCTGGAAAAACGAAGGGGGAACAATAGAGAATAATAGGCAGAATACGGGGGTTAACGAATTGTAGGAGTAATGGTTGGGTTATACCAGAATGTCTTAACTTCTTGATGTAGAAGGTAGGACGGAATATTTTCTTAGAAATCATCAAGATATGAAACGACCAGGAAAGATGAGTAGATAGAATGACGCCTAGGTATTTAATTTCCGACTTGGTTTCAATTTCAGTGTCATCTATGCTGCACACCTCGTAAGTGCTGACCAGTTTGTTTATGTCAGATTTATGCCTAAAGGTGAAATTGACTGTTTGGCATTTGGAGGGATTTAAGGTTAGACCGTTTACCTTGATCACTAGCTGATTTCTGATAAAAAGCCATGAATGAATGGCAACACTGGAAAATAGCCTAAACTAGTGAAACAATAGAAGACAAGACACGGAAGCCAAGATATATTTTTCATTAATCAAACAGCTGTTTATATATCTACAGTTTATATTCGTTAACCAATCACTGAGCGTGAGATTTCGGTTTACATCAAACAACATGAAATAGAATGTTCAAATATACATAGTGTTCTTTTGCTAATGCAGTATATAACCGTGGGAAATGTATTCAGCCTAACAGCAAATTGAATGTTCAAATAGATATATTGTATGCAGTGTTAAACTGTGGGACTAACATTCGGACTCTAACATCAAATCAAATGTTCAAACGTGTATTTTGTATGCAGTATTGAACTGTGAGAATTCGTGAACACAATATTCCATTGGCAAATATTTTCTGTATCGCACATCCATACTAGTACATCTGAGTAAGAATATTGAGCTGCGTCATTTATATATGCAGTTGAATTAAACACTGTGATTGGCTAATCCTTTGTTCACAATTAGTATAAGCAAACTTTATAGGGAGTAGGGCTTTGTTTTAATGCATTTATTAATTTAAAGTTAATTTAAACTTCAGTACGATGAATACGAAAAAGTGAAAAATACAAAGTTGGTGAAATGTATGAGTCAAAGGATAACGCCTTTAACATACACAGTATGTGAATTAAACTCAAACTGGATGGAACAGAAGATATTAAATACGAAGACTGGAAAAGCTTCTCTCCTAATCAGACTTAAAATATATTCAAGCATATTTTATTGAAAGACTATTAGATGCTTCAGAAGTATTTTATACCATATAAGAAAACAACTCACCTAAAAACTAAAGAAGAGTGACTCATAGATAATGTTAAGTAAAAAATGAGAATGACAACACAACAATAAAAACATTTTGTTCACCAGGAGTTTAGGAATATGAATATTGAAAACCTATACTCTGACTGACGGCATCGAGTGAATTTTTGGGAACACGTACACTTGTTGGGACAAGACATTATTAGAATTATTATCGCTTTTTCTGAATTCTGTGACTGATATGGTCAAGTTTCAAAGTATAGAGAGTGTGTTTAGTTATATAGACACAAAGTTAAATTATGAGTAAGGTGCATCCAAAATGAATAACAATGATCACTGATAAAGCATATTCTAATACTGATATATATATCCATATAATATGTGTGTTTGTTTGACAGTCTGTATATTTGCTATGTATATATGGATCGATATTCCATTATAATTAGCTAATCATGTTAAGACTGTCTATTGATTTGTTCATTTTGAATATTCGCTCACACACTTATGTTCACACATTTGTTCGGACATTTATATATATTTTGCTCTCACACTCTTGTGTGACATATTGATTCTCCTGGTGTTTTGGAAAATAGAAGTATCATCGCAAACCTAGTGGTCTTCTGATTTCCGTCTTTCTTGCGTTAGGACTATTAAATTCTCGACCAGTACATAACAATAATTTGGCAACGAGTACATGATAAATACTAAGCGTAAAATAAACAGTTTAGTTACGGGTTAAACCATGAATTAATATCAGTCAGAGAACCATTGAAAACCAGCATCGGAGTACTGGACAGCTGTTTCATCCCAGTTTGGGGTTCACTGCCAGTACCACCAGCTGGGTTTCGAACCCATGACCTGGTTACAGGGCAAGTTCGTATACCATTCAGTCGCTGGGACCCGATTCAATGGCCCATGAATTCTAACTTCTACCAATTTGTGATTTTAACGAGACCACCAGCTAGTGTTATCGGCGGATGGACGTCACTGGTCACGACCTCCTACTAGGACTCCAGGAAACTCTGTCCTATAGCCAGTCACCAGCAAGCAACATAATATATAGATGATCAAACGGGATTATAAATGTGATACGTTATCTAGTGCAACTAATGTAAATAAGTCTGATTTTGTGTACAAGGCAAATCATCTTACAGACTGAACAGAACGTCAGAGATTGGAAAGATATAACGACAAAAGTGATCTGATGCAGCTTCATGTTGCTGTAAAGAATGTGATTTTCAGGTGACATAAGGAAAAACTCAGCCATACATATAACCAAATCGGTTCAATAAAAATCAGTAGCCTCGAAATTTCACTACTATGTCAGCTACTGATAAGAATTTACAGGTAGTATATTGCATATGAGAAGAATCTTGAATAACTGAGCGACGGAATGAGTGCTAAAAATGAAGATGAAAGATTCTTGTGAAATAATATAGAAAGCATGAAAAGAAAACCCAAATAAGTATAATACAGTGAACCTGTGCAAATGGAAATTTAAGTGTAAGGTTTTTGTATATTGTCGTCATTATGTATCATTTACACATGAACAATTCCTGCGACGAATATCACCCATTTCGCCACCATAACATTTCTTTAGGATGAAAATTAGCGAGGAAGATGTCTAAAAGTTCTCAAAAGTACTGGTGTAAAGGGAGAGACAATTATTTTATCAAATATAACAATGATAAATAACAGTACACTTGTGTGAATAGTGAGTCCTAATTAGTTCTCTAGACAATCAAATAGGTTTACGTGCTACGTCAACCGATGTTTGGGGTAAAATATAAACATTCCACCCATCGACACACTTGGTAAGCCTAATTACTGTTGTCAGAGTGCAATTAACACCGTTCTACTTTTTTCTGTAAAAGAAATTTCTGAACACTTTCAGTAATGTTCGCTCAGATATGAAGTTTACCTGGGAAGGAGATTGAGCAGATGGTTTACCTATTTATGCATCCTGCACACTAAGAAGGCAGATGGTATGCATAAAATTGAAGATGATGATAGGTGACGCTAACCAGCTGGCTCACTTTTGCAGTTCCACGCTATTTCATTAAAATTACAGCTCACTTAGGATATCAGCTATTTTATTAGAAATAGAATGAAGGAATTTGTTGCAGTAAATTGTTTATCCTGAAAATCTGTTAAAGAAGGACGTCTCAAAACGCAGACACTTTATTTCTCATATGACACTTCAATTCTGAAGTTGCTTTTGATATCCCGATATGACTACTAAACGGCTTTTGTTGAATTCAGTCAACAGATTCTCAACGAATATACATCTTTGATTTCAACGGTTTCTGTACTGTACCCATAGCTGCTTGTCACCGTACTTTCGTAGACGTAGACGGATAAAGCTTGGGCGAGAAGCTAAAAGGTGCATATACAGTGGGATACTGTCTTATTGAGGAAACACAAAGATCGTTATAAGTCATACACAAGTTTTTCAGTTTTTTAATCCTTTACGTTCCCAGTGGAACATAGGGCTTCAGGCTAGAGGCTTGAAGTTGCAGTACCAGTGGTGATTATTTTTACAGGATGGGTTTGTTAGCCTCATACCCAACCTTTCCTCTTCACCAGTCTTATTACTGGTTTAGTGAAGTAAAGGAAGACTGCGTCAGCTGGGGATCGAATCCCAGACCACATGCGTGGTTGGCGAGCATTCTACCACTGTGCCACCAACGCACCACGGTAAATTTCCAGGAATCCATTAGGAAAAACAAAACTGCCACTTGTTTCATTAGCGAATTAGGATTATGCATTTAACATTCAACGAATGTTAACGTTCATACTGTGGTTTGTAAGGTTTGTGACGAATCTTTTCAAGAAAATCTTAACAGATTCGTGGATTCATTTAGATTATTTTGTATTCTCTACCGACTGATTTTTATTGGATC